TTTAAATTATTTGACTATATATGAATGCTTGTGTATAAATACTAGGGGTGCAACGATATTCGTATCGATATTGAACCGTTCGATACAGTGCTTTCGGTTCGGTACGCATATGTATCGAACAATACAAAATTTTTAATTTATTTTATCAACTTTCCTTCTGACGATGCTGTCTGTGTTGAGCGCTCAGTGAATCTGCACTCGACAGTGCAGCCTAGGCGGAGCAGTCGAGTGCAGATTCACTGAGCGCAGGGCAAGCTGCACTCGACAGTGCAGCCTAGGCGGAGTAGTCGAGTGCAGATTCACTGAGCGCAGGGCAAGCTAGCGAGACAGAAGTTAAGTATGGGCAGAAATCTGTGCCATCAGAAACTGAATTTGAATAAGTTAAATTTGAATTTGAATTGCTCAGACTGAATCTGAATTGTAACTTGAATAAATGCTTTTGAAAACCGAATTTGAATTAGTCTAATTTGAAATTGAATTTATGGTTTGAAAATGATCATCACTAAATTGAAATTGAATTTTAGATTTTGAAAATGAATTGATTTGCTTTGAAACTGCATTTTATCCTTTAAAAATTCAGCTCTCGAATACTTTCAGTTTCACTTCTCACCATTCAGTTTCAGTTCTACAATTCAATTTCAGTTCCAAAATTCAGTTTTTTGGAACTTACATCCGGTTCCGGTTCAAGCGCAGATTAATAGAACTACGTTTTACTAGCGGACCGAAAGTGTTACTGACGGGAATCTACAGCGTCTTGAGCTGAATTAAGACTTCAGAAGTCATTCGTCATGTCGAATGACCAGCGGATGAACTCTCAGGTTGGTAATAAATGTACTACATGTATAAGAACAAGCGTCATGTTAACAAATGATAGCCGTACGGTAACTTTTATGCTTATTGTAGCTGCTAGCTAAAAACGCTAATTTAGCGTAGTTTGCCCTGAATTCAGCTTTGACAACAAATATGATCGACTGTTTCTAGTAGAATTCCAAAGTTGTCATCTTGGACCCTCTCAGAGTACCCCCTCTGTATGCTTGCAGAGACCCCTACAGTAGGGAAACATGCAAAACGGTGTCCAAACCTTTGTATTTTAGCTTTATTTATGTCTTACACAGCATCCCAACTCTTTAGCTAACTTAATAACTTTAGCTAAAGTGAATAGTTAGTCTAATTCATTAGTGCAGCATTACTGGATAACTTAAAAACTTTACCTATGAGATCAAGAGAAGGCGGGTCAATGCTGGGTGTGGTTTGAAAACTTTGTGTTATTGCATTTTATTTTTGCTCATATGTAGAGATATGTTCTCTACTCTTATAAAGGTCCATTTCAGTAACAGATTCAGTGTTTTACATAAGCTGTTTTCACAAATCCATATGGAATAACCAGTTATGGAAGTTAGGTCAGGCGTGATGCTGGCTTCCAGTACTGTATTTTTAACTTTAAATAGGAAAAAATTTGCCCTTGTTTGTGAGATTTTGAAAGCATGCCAAGTCTATGAGAACCGGTTTCAGCCAGTTGGAGCCGGTTCCTTTGCTTTGGGCTGAAAATGAGAGAGATGAGAAATGTGATCTAGGTTCAAAATTCTGTGTGCTGGTTATTCGTCGTTGATGTCTTGTTGTGCTGCTGATTAGAAATCTTGGTTGTTTCAGATGTAATGTTGTACTTCACACATAATAATAATGATGATGATAATAATAATAAAAAAGTGGTCAGGTTTTACACAGATTTTTATCCTATTAAAATGAGAATGTTTGTGCTTAAGACATGCTACACTTGCGTATTTTCCAGCTTCATATTTTGTTGTGGCTGTTTTTAATTATTTAATCCTGGTAGCTGTCTGGTAGCAATATGAGTACTAAGGGGATGTTACACAGAAGAGCAGTGATGTGGCAAATAAAGACTGAAATATCAGGAAAGTTATTTGTAAAATTACAGAAAAAATTGACCTTTTAACATTACCTAAAGCAGTGAATCTTACAATAGTTTTCAGACTAGGTGACTAAAGTCTTTCTCATGTATTCAAGTTACCTGTACAGGCCTCCTAGCTATATTTCAGTTATTTAGAAAGTTCAGTTGCTGCTACATAGGGATACGCGCGACTACTTAACTAGATGTATAGATGTTACTCCCCTTGCTAGTAGACATCAGAAACACTAGTTGGCTAGTAGGGCTGCCACAATTTGTTGACATAATCTATGACGTCGACTATTAAAAAGTGGTTAGTCCATCATTTTATTGTTGACGCGTCATATACATACCACATAAATGTGTTTTTGTAACTGCAGTACACTGCAGGAAGGTATGGGGGCAGTATCACATTTTCCATCTGCAGGACTGCACTCAGTTTGGGATGCTATTTACACTTCTCTGACATGAGGCACATGGGTGGAAACAGTCCTCTTCCCACATGCTTACACTACTGTAAATACCACACGGTTCGGGAAGGAAGCTGACTGAATGCAGGAAGCACATGACAACCAGACTATTACCAACACGTATTAGCGTAAACTGACCTTACGTGGACTTTGTCTTGGGAAGATGGCAAATTAAAGACTGTCTAAAGTTCGATTTGAAACTTTGCACCCTTTGTTGTGCTCATAAAGAACTTTAGTTAATTTTTAATATGATTTTCTGGCGTTCTCTTGTTTACGCGGAGACTCTAAAGGATCTGGCACACCATGTAGACAAATTGGCTGGCAGATCATGATTGTGGTTTACCGTGAGCTACAGTTTCTTTATCATTGGCTTTGTGGCTGACTTATCGTGTTCAGCTGAGGTTAAAAACAGTGTGTGCGGATGGTGGTTAAAGCTAAATTTAATGTGGGCTTTGGTATTAAACTAATATTTTTAATATAATGATATTAAAAATGATCCTCCAGAATTGTTTGTCCTTCCAGAATTGTTTCTATTTGAAACAGACTACATAGCTTTTGTGGAGATTTATATATTTAGCTTGTTAGTTTAAGGTTAGCTTCACAAAGTCAATAAAATTATACACTGAAAACAAGTGTCTGTTACTCATGCCTACCCAAAATCTCCTTCTGCTATAAACAAGCACTACAATACATGCAGAAGTTTGGACACCTCAAGGCAAATTAAACGTTTATTAAATTTCAAAGTAAAAAGAAATGAATAAAGCCCTTCGGGGAAATAAGATGTGTCATTTCATTATATATTTAACTCCCATCCCAAACATTCAATGAAACTCTCAGAAGTCAGCATTAATTAACTCATTAGGTCTCATACAGTTCATGTATGTGTCTCGCCTGTCATCCTATGATAGCTGGGATAGGCTCCAGCGCTCGCTGGCGTCCCTGAAGAAAGTGGGTGAATGGACTTGTACCGACAAATTTTCTGACCACTCCAACTTTGCTCTCCTACTTAGGAAATCTCGAGTTAAGCTAACTGATGCTTAAAAGCCTATTATAATATCATTAATAACGGTAATTAACAGGAACACTGTAGAACTGCTGGGCAGAAAGGCCAATTGAAAACTCCATATGATGACAAGGGACCCGGCTCAGCATCGGTAAAGGGAGACCTTACCTATGCACAGATGACCTCTGGATAAGCCAACGCCTTTCTGAAAGCTCGATTAAGGTGAGAGACTGGTGGCAGCTGAGACTGCAACCTTGCAAATCTTACCAAAGGTATATTTGGAGGAAATGGGAACATGGAAAAATTCTGCTTTAAGGCTTGAGAAGAATGGACCCTGTTATAAATACATGTATACACAAACACCACTCAAGAACTCACAATTATCAACAAGTATTATGTGAAAGTGTGAGTACTTCAAACTAATGCATACAAATGTAGTTTTTTTATTACTGCAGGAAGTCAAGCCTGCTGTGGGTTTTAATAAGCAAATGTGTGGCTACAAATGAGTGTGTAAAGACAGAGTGAAACAAATGCGATTATTGAGATTTATTTTTTTTAAATAAAGAGGCATGTGTACAGACAGCTTTATAACTCTGCCGAAACATACAAGCTCACCTGCCGATATAGTGAGATTTCCAGCATTAGGAATTTTAAATAATCCCGACAAATAAATTGAAAAGTACTCTAATTTTAAAAGAATTTATTCCTTCACTTGCACGGGTAACTATGCAAAAATACTTCTACCATCAAAGCAGCGTGTTATGATTTATTGAGGACTCTAAACGGTGATTCACCAAACTGAGAGCTTCAGCTATGCAGGCTATTTTCAGGCTGCTTGTACTGCCTAAGCGAAGGAAAATGTAAACGTTTTTTATTGCTGTGTGTTCAATTTATGCCCCAATATCAATGTATGAGAACTAAGCTACAGTGTAGCCTAGCTGATTTGACCACAGGGGGTGACTTGTCTAAGCTCAAGGCTGCTTTCTCCAGCACTGCAGACATGTCGGTGTGCAAAAGGGTGTGAGAAAGAGAGAGACACGCAGGCTCTTGGAGAGCACAGATACCAGCTCCCCTGCTCCCGATCACATGGATTCTGCTGCAAAGGGACTCAGACAACACGAGGTGCAAAGGTTTAAGCTATTCCTTTTCTGGAATACCAACAAACATGAGAATATAAGACCACTATAACTCACCCCCTGCTGGCCTCTTGGGGAACAGCAAGTTCCTCAAGCACAAGTGAGTGCACAAAATGGCTGACCTGAATTAATGCTTTGTGATCTCAGAAGGAAATGACTGCAAAAAGACTGTTGTTTCTAATAAATAGCATAACATAACATAACATAACTACTCGCTGGGACCTTCAGGTGGACTCTTCTCATGTGTGCACTTCCGCGTAGAAAGTGCAACACTTCAATGTACCTAACACCCTGCATAACCACCATGCTTGCCGATGCAGCAGGTCTGTGTAACTGTGAGTGTAGGTTTATAAAACTACAATCACACTACTGTCTGTAGTTAGGTTACAGACAAATTTTCAGGCTGTTGTTTGGCAGAAGGCTCCTCCCCCTCCCTATAACCCCTCCCCCTTAGCACTGTAATGTCTCTGGGCTCTGTCTGGACACCCCTCCCCCTCCATGCCAATGTTCAGCTGCCTGTTCTCTACCACTCATTGGCTCTGTGATTCTGTCTCAAACCTGCTCCTCCTGCTGCAGGGTAACTACAAGCTGCAGCACATTTTCTTTGAGTCCTGCATATCCTCCATACTAACCGACCTAAAACATCCTGCAGCGGTTCATATACATACCTTGCCTGCTTTTATCTACCGACTTCAGCACGGTGACCAACAGGATGCTTTAAAAAAAAAAAAACCGGGTGAACCACTCAGACTGCATCTCTGGACTGCGCGACCGTTAGTCGTTTAACGACCAAACCCCCTCTCCCCGGTCGCAACGTCAGCCGTTGGAGTTTTTTTGTGCGTGCGCGAAAGGAGGAGGAGTCTGTTCGCGAGTCAGAGGGGGCGCGGAGCAGTCGGTTGAATCCGCGAACACAACAGTTGTTGTTGTGGCACAGCTCACTAGTTTCCCCGGTTCATCTTGAGAACGTGGACTTGATGCAGCACTCATAACGCATCCCGAGAGCATCGGCGCTTCACACAGGGGGTCCGTAAGAGTTGGTTTGGACACCAGAGGGTGAGGAGGGGACCGTACGGAACGAAGCTTAAAATCGCGGGAACGTCGGCGGACAGCGTAGAGAAATTCGGTGAGTCGAGGTACTGCAGTTAGCATGCTACCCAGACAGCTTATTTGTACTTTTATTTAATAGCAGTGAATGTCATCCTTTATGGAACTTGTGGTTCTGAACAGAAACATTTGATATGAATTAGGGGAAAAAATCTGTTACTGGTAGTTGGCTGCATACAATGCAACAGTGACCCCTACAGACCGGGATTACAGCAGACATGCATAATGAAAACCCTGTCAGCTAGCAGTGTCAGTGTTCGCTAAATGAATAATGGTATATTGATACTGTTTTGGTTTTTTTAATCGATATCACGGAGTGAAAACATTTTATTTGCAGCTTTTATTTACAGACATTTTTAAAAAAAAATTCTCTAATGGCTTATATTCGATTCGTTTTTTTGTGTGCTAGAAAAGTCGTTTGCATAACCAGTCTGGAGTCATAACATCCGTGTATGCTAGCATTAAACTGTGAATTGATTTGAATGCTGATATATCTTACATTTGTTATTCAGGTAGTTTTTTTTAAATTACATACAGCATATATTTTAGAACATTTGAGCTTTAAAAAAATTACATGTCTATTCCTTGATTTCTGATAAACGTTGTGAAACAAGTCACCTTTATCTTTAGTTATATAAATCAGCAGTCCCCAACCTTTTTTGCGCCACGGACCGGTTTGTGCCCGACAATATTTTCACGGACTGGCCTTTAATGTGTCGCGGATAAATACAACAAAATAAAACTAGTACCGGTAACGAAAAAAAGATTTATTCATAACACAGGTGAAAAGACCCAGGAAAACCGAGTTAACGATAAAAACGATAACAAAATAACGCTGAAAACCGATAAAAACCCTGAAAACCATACATTTCACACCTGAGCCTCAACTCTTGCGACCCGGTACCAAACGACTCACGGACCGGTACCGGTTCGAGGCCCAGGGGTTGGGGACAGCTGATATAAATAATAGTCGCTTTACTATCTGCTGATTGAAGAAAGAGTTCTTACATCTCATCAGTAATCAAATACTTTAAGTTTGCTTCCCAATTCAGAATGTGGAAATGCACACTTGTGTCTCTGATGTTTTTGTACCTCATTTTATGGCTTTTTAGGTAAAGTTCTACAAAGTCAATGTAGCAACTGCGCCATGTTGGTGCTAGGAAGCAGCGAATATAATCAGCATGTTGACATAATAAAAAGCTTTGTGGCGTCCGTTATTGATCTTCTGTGGATGCTAAATGAAAATGTGGCTTTTATTTTAAAAATAATATCCACAAAAGTTTTTTAGCTCTTACTAGATGGTATCCCTAAATTCACTGCTACAGTATAATCTTTTTAACTTAGCTGTCTAAAGTGACTAGAAGTGAGTAGGAGAAAGCTGCATTCCTCATATTGAGCAGCTGAACCCGCCCCCTCCCCCTCTTGGTTTAAAGTGGTACAATCCAGTAATTTTCCATTTCACTCTCCTAGGATGTGGGTGTGGCCTAAAGTCAATGATCAGACAAGAGTTTTGGTTTTTTTACCTGCCAGTGACTTTACTTGAAAACTGAAATCTCCACCTTTTATGGTTTTGGTGGAAAGATGGAAAGATGTACATGATCATTACACTGCACTAAAGATCAGACACCAAATGTCTTGGGCAATTTCTCAGTTTTCAGTGCTGTAGTCTTTCATCATATTTTCCAACATCTTACATATTTTTTTAAAAAAATCAGTTAATATAAAGTCAACAGTTTCATATTTGCTTTTAATTTTTTGAATCATGCCTTGTTTCTGGTTTCACCTCCCCCTCTTCACTTCTGCAGTGCTCACATGGTGCACTTGTAATTCATTACAGAGACTGTTGTTTCCCTACAGAACAGGAAGCAGCCCTTAAAGGCACAACCTATTTTTTTGTGTGTGTGTGTGTTTAAAGTTATATTTGACTTTGCTGTAGCTATTTATTGTGCTTTTCCTGTAATCCAGGTTTTTGCAATTACTGTAATAGTAATATGCTATGCTACAGTTTGTAGTTTTACCTGTGTTCGCTTTAAGATTGTATTCAGTTTGGATGTGTGTTTTAACCGGTGCCCTTTCGGTTGCAAAAAAACAGAATGCTCGATTAAGCCCTAAACTCCGCACGAAAATGTTTAGTGGTCAAAATAAACTTTTCCCCCCCCATAGATCTCTGTAGAACCAGAGGTTCTTTTTGCAACCACAACTGTCACCCTCTGGTGGCCGTCAGATAGAAGCCACTTCCAGGTTAGCTTCGTATATGTTAGAAATGCGTAAAACAAAAAATGTCAGCTAGCAGTGGCAGTGGCCAGTGATAAATTAATTACTTTCTAATACCATAGAATTGATAATATTACACTGGCAAATTTTTAAAATTCTGATTAATATGACATTAAATGTTAAAACAAACAGCAAAAAGCTACTTAAACATTGTCACTGTTTTTGTTCGTAACAAACTGTTTCAGGTGGGAAAAACTACAAAAATATAATGAATTTTCTCCCAAATTTCACAACTGGAAATGTACATTTGTGTCTTGGGTATGTTCATACCTCACTTCAAGACATTAAAAGCCAGTCCTACAACATCAGTGTAGCGACTGTGCCGTGTTGGTGCTAGGAAGCTGCAGACATAATCAGTGTCCTGCAAAGGTGGTAATTTGGGCGAGGGACAAAAAAAATGACAGATCTTAATGTGTAGTTGTTTATCTTGAGATAGAAACTAATGAAGAAAGTGCCAAAGTAATAAATGGACTATGTCACTCTGTTTTGTGTCGTTGGATTGGCAGCTTTACTGAAGAGTTAGCGATTTAAAAAATACACTTGCAGGAATCGCTGTAGCTTATCAAACTGCAATCTAGATAGAGCCTTCAATGTGATAGAATAGAAAAATGTAATGGCTAATGTGAGTAAGAGGCAGCTGCACCCCTCCCCTCTTGGTTTAAAGTGGTACAGTCTAGTAATTTTCCATTCCACTGTCCTAGGATGTGGGTGTGGCCTAAAGTCGATCTCATCAGACAAGAATTAAGCAGGTTTTGTCTTTGACCTATCACACAAATTTACTACAAATGAGAAATCTCACTTTGTTTTTGGTTTTGGTGAACTGATGCGCAGAATAGATATAAGGCCAGCGGAGTGATTTCTGAACTGCATAAAATATCAGGCACCAAGTGGTTTGGGCAATTTCATCTGTCTTCAGATTTGGAGTCTTTCATATTTTCCAACTCCCCGTTATAATGTTATTGATAACCGTGTCCATAGAAACAGAGAAAATTAAGAGTTTAATATTTGGTTTTTACCCTTTTAGAACATGGTATGGCCTTGTTTTTGGTTTCACCTCCCCCGCTTCACCCAGCGGCAGTGCTCACATGGTGCACTTGTAATTCATTACAGTCTCTCTTTTTTTTTTATCTGCAGAAGAGGAAGCAGCCCTTAAAGGCGCCACATACATTTTTCAAAAGCTTTCTTGTAGATGTTATATTTGACTTTGCTGAATTTATTTAACTTCTTATACCGTGTAAGATTGTCTGTATTGAGTTTTATAAATCAGCAATTTGTAGAGCTAGCTTCATTAAGATTTTAAGATTGTAAATAAAAAAATATTTTGTTTTGTTTTCTATCATTAAAATCGAGACCTTCTGGGGAGCTCCATGTGGAGAAAAGGGGGAGTTAGTGTGACAGCAGTCCTGGTTTATACATGTTTGCTACCAGATGTAAGTCGGCACTGTGCAGCTGTTGGCTCATGACAACTATAGGCCAAGAGTTTTTGGCCTCAGTGATAAATATGAGCAGAATTTGATGACATAACTCAGATTCATCTGAAATTTTAATGTGTATATTAGACAAGGGCGTAAAGTGCCATTCAGGTAGGCCACATCACTGTACCATGTCACACAGAGCATACTTGTATCTTGCAGCATTTTCTGTAGAGAAATAATTAAAAATAATATATCACATTATATAACTGGTCAAGTGACAAAATGCATATTGATTCTCAATACTCTCAATACGTGCCACTGCTATTGTGTGACATTATTTGTTATGTATCTTAAATTCTTACAAAGCGGTGCACTTCAACATGAAATGGTATTCATGTTGGTATATCATAGTAGTTATGGTTAAAACCATGTCACCATGGTTATTTATTGAAATTTAAGCTAATTCTTAATAGATTGATCAAATAAATCAAATGTAGAAATATAGAGACATAACTGATTTGTCCACAATGAAAAGGCAAATCAGTTTGTGTGTTTCTCATTTAATTACAGATTCTGACATTTACATGTTATGTTATGAAATTATTCTTATGGAAGTTAGGTCAGGCGTGATGCTGGCTTCCAGTACTGTATTTTTTAACTTTAAATAGGAAAAAATTTGCCCTTGTTTGTGAGATTTTGAAAGCATGCCAAGTCTATGAGAACCGGTTTCAGCCAGTTGGAGCCGGTTCCTTTGCTTTGGGCTGAAAATGAGAGAGATGAGAAATGTGATCTAGGTTCAAAATTCTGTGTGCTGGTTATTCGTCGTTGATGTCTTGTTGTGCTGCTGATTAGAAATCTTGGTTGTTTCAGATGTAATGTTGTACTTCACACATAATAATGATGATAATAACAATAAAAAAGTGGTCAGGTTTTACACAGATTTTTATCCTATTAAAATGAGAATGTTTGTGCTTAAGACATGCTACACTTGCGTATTTTCCAGCTTCATATTTTGTTGTGGCTGTTTGTAATTATTTAATCCTGGTAGCTGTCTGGTAGCAATATGAGTACTAAGGGGATGTTACACAGAAGAGCAGTGATGTGGCAAATAAAGACTGAAATATCAGGAAAGTTATTTGTAAAATTACAGAAAAAAATTGACCTTTTAACATTACCTAAAGCAGTGAATCTTACAATAGTTTTCAGACTAGGCGACTAAAGTCTTTCTCATGTATTCAAGTTACCTGTACAGGCCTCCTAGCTATATTTCAGTTATTTAGAAAGTTCAGTTGCTGCTACATAGGGATATGCGCGACTACTTAACTAGATGTATAGATGTT